ACCACATAGTTGGTAGCACTCAGCTTAGAGTGGACAACATAAGGACCTGAGAACCGAGCGCGAAGGGAGGAACCAGACAATGTAAGTAACACAAGGACACGGTCACCAGGCTGAAAAGACCGCTCTATAGCAGCTTTATCGAAATGTGCCTTCATTTTGACTTGGGAGGCACCTAGAGACGTCCTAGCGAGGGCTCTAACAGCAGACATGCGTTCACGAAGGGAACTAACATATTTAAGGAGGTCCTGTGATGGCGAAGGCGTGTTAGGCGACAACCACTGCTCCTGAAGCGCTTTTAGGGGACCTCGAACCAAATGACCAAACACCAGCTCAGCAGGGCTAAACCCGGTCGACTCCTGGATGGTGTTACGGATAGCAAAGAGGAGGAGGGGCACACCCTCATCCCAGTCTTTCCCTGCATCCAAACAGAAAGTGCGGAGCATGTTTTTAAACGTCTGGTGAAACCGTTCCAGCGCCCCCTGGCTTTCTGGATGGTAAGTGCTGGATACTGAGTGCCGAACTCCCAACTCACGAACCACTTGGGCAAATAGTTTTGATGTAAAGTTGGTACCTTGATCAGACTGCACGTACTTAGGGAGGCCGAATGTAGTGAAGAATTTGATCAAGTTCTTCACTATAACGGAGGATCTTAGACTGCGAATGGGGATAGCTTCTGGGAAACGAGTTGCAGTGCACATTAACGTAAATAAATAGCTATTGCCTGAGCGAGTTTTTGTTAAAGGACCGACACAGTCTATAAGTACGTGCTCAAAAGGTTCACCGATCGCAGGTATGGGCCGTAACGGGGCTGGAACAATGACCTGGTTTGGTTTGCCCACTACTTGACAGACATGACAGGTCTTACAATACCTCTTTGTGTCTGAATTTACTCCAGGCCAGAAGAAATGACCTAAGATTCGAGACAACGTCTTTTTAATTCCTAGATGACCTGAACATGGGTGATCGTGGGCGAGGGACAATACATATGCCCGATATTTCTCTGGGACTCCTGATATACTGAAGACCAATCAAAAGGCGAATTCAGGGGTCCACTTACGCATAAGCACTTGATCAACAAACAAACAACATTCTCTAGAATAAATGAAATACCCGGAACGGGTAGGCGAGTCTGGAACGCAACCCGTACAAAACCAGAGAAGTCAGGGGAATTTAGGAATACATTGTGTAAAGGAACAGCCGTCACGCACAAATCAATGCCTTGTACTAGGACACTGGTACCACAATACGACGCATTATCAAGAGGGATGATGCCTTCCATCAGAAACGATTGGGCAGCACCCGTATCCTGCAGGATAGTCACAGGGTGTCGCACATCAGGCTCACTAAGCGAAACCGAACCAGAGAACACAAAGGGCTGGAAAGCAGGCTCCACTTCTTGAGATAGGGGTGAAGCACTGTCTATACCAGCTACAACCTGCACCTGCAGGTACGCCACAAGCTTCCCTTCGTTTAAGGGCTGGGCATACTGAAATAAGATGACCCACCTCATGACAATAAAAGCACTCACGCTTCTCCACAGGCGGTGGGGGGGGAGCAGGCACAGGGGAGGATGTAATCGGCCGAGGCTGAACTTTTCGAGGTAACGGAGTTGGAGTAAACAGTTTTGTGCATAAGCACAAACTCATCTGCGAGGGTGGCAGCCTCGGTCAAGGAAACTACCTTCTGTTCCTTTAAGTATACCACCACGTGATCAGGGACACAGATTTTAAACTCTTTCAACAAAATCAATTCCTTGAGCTGTTCAAGGTTACACACACCACTGGCGGTACACCATTTTTCAAACAGGGTGGTCTTTTCCCTGGCAAATTCTACGTGGGTCTGGCTGGGGATTTATTAAGCTTCCGGAAACTCTGCCGGTAAGCCTCAGGTACACGTTCGTAAGCCCTTAAGACGGTAGCCTTCACTATGTCATAATCTAGGCTCTGCTCTAATGTGAGGGCCGAACACACTTCTTTTGCCTTACCCACTAGCTTGCATTGCAACAGGAGAGACCAAGATGCCTAGGCCAGTTCAAAGTCATGACAATGCGCTCAAATATGGAAAAGTAGGGCGTCCACCTCATTTTCCCGGAACACTGGAACAAGCCCGATATGTCGGTTAACATCGAAGCCAGAATTACTCCCATCCTGGGGGACTGGTGAACTCAGGGGAGATCGCGGGCAAGTTTGAGGAGCGTCTGGGGCATCAGACCCATCTCGGGCGGGCAGGCCGGAGTGTGGAGACGTACCTGGTTTTGGCACCCTTCGCGGAAGAGGCACCGGCTTTTGTTCGCCCATGCTTAGCCGCCGCAGTTCCACCTTCTTATCAGCCTCTATTTCCACAGCCCTGAGACGGAGAAGGTGTGCCTGGTACTCCTGCCTCTTGATCTCTAACTCGAGTTCCCTTAGTCAAATTGTAAGCAGGATCTCCTCCCTGGATGAACGGGGACCACAGAGATCCATGCGGAGACCCGTCCCAAGATCAACGCCGCCAGCTTCTGCTGCAGCAGATGCATGGACAGGACTCGATGCAACACTCGTGGAGCCACCCACCTCAGGCAGGATACCCTGCTGAATCAGCTCATCCAAAAGGACCTGCTTAATCGCCTGCTTAGAAGCCTCAGCGGGGACAACCATATTAAAGAAGTCTGCTATCACTAGCAGATCATCCTTACGGCCCTTATCGAATTGCTCGAGTGAGGGGAAAAGGTTGAAAGCGACGAGGTCGAACTTGGCCATAATCACTAATACTAACACTACCCCCCCACACAAAAAAATTCCACCAGGCAGACCCGAAAAACAAAAATGAAGCTCCCAACTACGGAGAAAACAGCAGACAGAAAGGCAACAAAAGCGAAGAAAGGACGAGCCCAGAAACCCAGGAGGCACACGCACAGAAAAACAGAAAAGAGGAACGGACGAGCCCCCAATTTCTGTTATGATCCCCAGTCTAGGGTTGGGGATCGCCTGAAAGGTAGAGGAGAGGGAGAGGGGAAGACAGGACAAGCAGGGAACGGGAAAGGGGGACACAGGAAACAAAGGGATCTTTTTTTGTATTTTTTTATAATTATTCACAGACACGGTTACAAACACGAGGTGCAACAAACTTCAGGAGTGACCCAGGCCAAAATAACAACCAAAACAGCTAACAAACACGTCCCAAACTAAGCTAACTCTAAAGGTAATGAAAACAAGAGGAAACAAAATGACAAAGACTAAGTGTAACTCCCTAACCAAAACAACAGTAAACACCACGTTCGCAAAAACAAAAAGGCAGTCACTCCTTACGCACCTAAGAGACATGTACAGAAAACACACAGGCCGAAACACGGTATCCTAAAGGGCGAGGCAAAGAGAGTAGTCAGGAGCTAAGCAAGAGTTCAAACCAGAAGACAAACAAACCGAAGGCAAAGGTACCAATAGGGCAAAGCAGAAAGTCAGAAACCGGGAAACCAAAACAGTCATACACAGAAGTCAATCAGAACATAAGAACTATACAAACAAGAGGAGGCCATTCGGCCCCTCGAGCTCGCTTGGGGAGAACTTAACTAATAGCTC